TTTATGACCAAAACCCATTCCCAAATCCCCAAACCCATGCCATGATTCCGTGACCAAAATCCATTCCCAAATCCCCAATCCCATCCCCTCATTCCCTGACCCAAATCAACTCCCAAATCCCCAAACCCATCCCACAATTCCCTGACCAAAATCCATTCCCAAATCCCCAAACCTATCCCATGATTTTGTGACCAAAATCCATTCCCAAATCCCCAGTCCCATCCTGTGATTCTGTGGCCAAAATCCACTCCCAAATCCCCAAATCCATCCCACGATTCCCTGACCCAAATCCATTCCCAAATCCCCAATCCCATCCCATGATTTTATGACCAAAATCCATTCCTAAATCCATCCCATGATTCCGTGACCAAAATCCATTCCCAAATCCCCAAACCCATCCCTTGATTCCCTGACCAAAATCCATTCCCAAATCTCCAAACCCATCCCATGATTCCATGACCAAAATCCATTCCCAAATCCCCAAAGCCATCCCATGATTCCGTGACCGAAATCCATTCCCAAATCCCCAATCCCATCCCATGATTCCATGACTGAAATCCACTCCCAAATCCCCAAACCCATCCTATGATTTTATGACCAAAATCCACTCCCAAATCCCCAAAGCCATCCCACGATTCCCTGACCCAAATCCACTCCCAAATCCCCAATCCCATCCCATGATTCCCTGACCAAAATCTGCTCCCAGATCCCCAATCCCATCTCTTCATTCCCTGACCCAAATCAACTCCCAAATCCCCAAACCTATCCCATGATTTTGTGACCAAAATCCATTCCCAAATCCCCAAACCCATCCCATGATTCCGTGACCAAAATCCATTCCCAAATCCCCAATCCCATCCCATGATTCCCTGACCAAAATCTGCTCCTAGATCCCCAATCCCATCCCCTCATTCCCTGACCCAAATCAACTCCCAAATCCCCAAACCCATCCCATGATTTTGTGACCAAAATCCATTCCCAAATCCCCAATCCCATTCCATGATTCAGTGACCAAAATCCACTCCCAAATCCCCAAACCCATCCCACAATTCCCTGACCCAAATCCATTCCCAAATCCCCAATCCCATCCCATGATTTTATGACCAA